GGTTAATACACCCATGCAATACAATTAGGATTCTGACAAAAAAATTAAAATTATATTTTTATCATGAATATTACCAAAATTTGTCAGTTTTAAATCACTCAAATTATCAAAACTCCACAAATAAAGGAATGCACCACACACGCGTATCGTGTATACATGGAAATCTGTATATAATAAATTACAATCAATTTACAAAAAAAAAAACTGCAAGTCTCTCCTTCTACCACTTGTCATAAGTCTCAATTTCTACTCTTTTACTTTGTTTTCCATATCATTTTCTAATTTTTCTCTTATTTTCTTTTTTTTTTCAACTAAAACAAAAAAGGGTTGGTTCCGTATTATCCCTCCTACAAGTGCCACAAAAACGATTTCCCCCAAACTTTTTTATCTTCGATTTTCTACACAAACTTTTTGAACCGATAAAAAAACTACACAAACTAATTATCTCTTTGAATTGGTAAAGCTAATTTCTTAACTAAACCGTAACCAGAGTTAAGTAAACCAAAATCGCATTTAAGAAATCTGATAAGTAGATATGCGTATTTGCCCCTCTTGAAGTGGAACTAGTTAGATTTCCGGTCCCCCTAGAACTTCTGCAAATGTAGACCACTTGAACATTTATAAATCAATTCATCCAATGAAGATTAAATTATCCACTGCTATGTCCTTTGTTCGTCCATGAATTAAATTGACTAAAGTTTAAGAGCTCATTCAAAAATTATTCTTCGGTTTTTACGATGTCAAGTTAATTGTAGAGCATGAAGAAGACTCAATCCTTTTGCTTGTAAAGCATTAATAGATTTTGGTAAGAATGAAGATGCCGTTGTAACAAATTTTCCATTCATATCGCGAATAACCTATCATGGTCCGGTTTAACTATTTGACAGGTTGTAACATGTATCATGGTTGCATTTGAACCAACCATTTGGAGGAGGAGACCATACGATAGTGGGTGAAGCCATTCGGTTTGGAGAGCTTTGGGGTGTTCTCCCATTCACTAGCTTCGTGTTGAGCTATTTGTAGGATGTCAATCGGTTGCCACTTTGTCCATCGAAGATCATATCGTTTTGCGTTTTCCACAAGCTCCATGTTAACAAAAAACCAAACGGGCGGTTGGTTGGTAGTAACCAACCCCAATATTTGATTAGCGTTTAGCAAATTTGTGAACATGGGTCTAGACCAATCAATCGATTTCGTAACGAAGGTAAGGGGATGCATAGAATTTCAGAAATTATATATATAGTTAGGAGGACTGTTATGCGATTTGGGCCCATAAACAGAGAAACAAAGAGGCCCTGAGAAAAACGAAGTAGGTGAAGCCTTTTCAAATCGACGGTTTTTGTTTTGCGAAATGCCAAAGAATCTTCTGGATCCTTTTTCCTCTACTCCATTTATCTAAACCCTAACCCCCTCTCTTTCGTTTAGACACTTCCTTATCCACAATCCAGAACAATCCTGAAAAGCTCTCCATTCCGGTCTGAAAATGGCGTCTGCAAACGCTCTCTCTTCTGCCTCCGTCCTCTGCTCTTCCCGACAGGTCGGAGTTTATCCGTTTATCTTGAATGTCTTCTTCCATTACTTGTCTTGATTCTTTCCTTTGGATTTGACCTTTACTTTGTTTATTTCGATGGCCTTTCTCTATTCAGTGTTTTTGTGCTTTAATGGTTTCTGGGTTGGTGAAAAATGGTTACTTTCGCTCTCTAGTCGGCTTTTTTATGCTCTGATTGTTTCTGGGTTTGTGGAAAATGGTTACTTTATCTGATAAAACAGAAGAATTCGATCTGAGATTAGTATATAATGAATCTGCTTTAATGGATATTCATCTTGTGGATTGCAGGGAAAGCTAAGTGGAGGGAATCAGCAGAAAGGTCAGAGAATAAGCTACAGGAAAGCAAACAGACGTTTCAGTGTTAGAGCCAATGTAAAGGAAATCGCTTTTGACCAGAGCTCTAGAGCTGCTCTTCAAGCTGGTATCGACAAGCTTGCTGATGCTGTTGGTCTCACTCTTGGCCCTAGAGGTATTATTAGTAGCTCTTCTGTTTCACAA